GACAACCTGCAAGCTTCTGTCAGGAAGGCGGGGGAAGAGAAGGTAAAGTTGAAGCGATGGCGCTGGTATGTTGATCATGATGGGGAGAGGAGGGAGGAGGAGGAGGAGGAGGAGGAGGAGGAGGAGGAGGAGGAGGAGGAGGATAGGTCACCTGCGTACCACCGACTAGAATGTGTTTGGCGTTGATGACCTCGGGAGCAAAGATCGCCTCGGCGTTCTTGATAAGGGTGAGCTTGAAGCGGGACTGCATCTGCTGAGAGACGACGGGGAGAGGAGGGACCGAAGGCTTCAGCAGGTTGTTCGCCTTGTCATGCAGCGCCATGCATGCGTGCTCGTCTCTTCCTATCGCTATGAACATCCCAGCCACTCCTCGCAGAAACTGGATGGGAAAGACTCCGCTGCTGCTCTGACCCGGCACGAAGTTACATCCTGCATTCTTGAGGCGCTTCCAGAAGGTCTGGATGTCAAGATCCTCTGCAAGAGCAAAGTCAAGATCAGAACACCTTTCGTCTTCCTCCTCTTGCCGCAGCCCCCGTTCTCCTCTCCTTTCTACCTCTCTGTTCTCCCTCCTCCCCGTTCCCCCTCCAATCCCTCTCCCCCTCGCTCCCCCTCCTCCTCTCTCCTGCACCTCTTCTCCCCCTTGCCTCACTTCCTCCCCCCTGAGGCACGCAGCTCACCTGTCGGCCTGTGCTCCCAGCAGTAGTAGGTCTTGTCGTGTGCGTACATCTGCAGGAAGAGCTTCGGGAAGTGACCTGAACGGAACCGCCCCGCCTTGAGGCTGCAGAGGACGGGGTTCCCTCCCACAGAGACGAAGTCCATCCCCCCCGGCCCCTTAGGCTTCATCTTGGACACGATGGACTGAAAGTAGCGGTTGGCCGACTTCTGAAAGATCTTGGACGCGATCGACTTCCTCCAGCCCATGCACGAGTAGCCGACGATGATCTGGTCCACGAGCCCCTTCCCCAGCAGCACCCCTTCGTTGTAGTGCAGGGCGGGAGAGAGGATCAGCCCATCGGGCGCCTTGTCGAGGTTGAGAAACTCCTCGACGCAGACCTCACCGAGAGGGAAGTCATACATCTTCAGCTGCTCCATCTCGCTCACCACCAGGATCCCGTCCCCGTCGGTCCCGTAGATGGGCTTGATGATGATGTCTTTCACGTCCAGCAGCCTGTACGCCTCCAGCAGGTCATCCACGGTGGAGCAGCGGTACCCTCGAGCAACAGGGATGCTCGGGTCAAGCTGCTCGATTGCGGAGGGGGTGTTTGGAGACGAGACATGGCGGTGCAGGACGCCCTTGGAGCCGAACTTTTCAGTGAACTCGAGCTCCTCCCCGAAGACAGCGACGCCGAACTCGCTCAGGCTGCTGGCCCATCGCTGGAATGTGGGAGTGACCATGTAGGGGACGAGCGTCCACTTGTCCTCGCCGGAGATGATGATGCCTTTGAGCTGCGAGAGGATGGAGTCGTCGATGTCGTCGTCGAGCGACAGGTTCTCTCCTGAAGTGAAGATCGCTTGCGACTTGTCCAAATTCATCGCATTCCTGCAGAACTCCCAGTACTCCTTGATCGGCTTGTATCCTCCCGGCAAGATAATGATGTCTAAGTGCGGCCTCACGCATGCGATGGCCTTAGCGGCGAGCTGGAAGCGACGGTGAGGCTTTCGAACCTCGCTGAGAGGGCAGGACTGCACCCAGATCCTCCTCCTGTACCGCGACAGGGAAACAGACTCGACGTTTTGGTTGACACAGACCTCCCGGCTGGCAGTCTCCGCCTGCTCCTTGAGGGCCATGGCTTCTGAGTCGTCGCTCGCGATGGAGATGTAAGTTCCGATGCCGTAGTTGCTCTGGTTCCTGAGGAAGAGAAGGGGAAAGACTCCTGACTTGGACTTCCCGGGAATGAACGCGATCCCCCGCTCCACCAGGCGGCTCCAGAAGGTCCAGATGTCGAGGTCAGAGGGTGGGTGTGAGTTCCACATATAGAACACAGAGCCCGTCGCATGCGTTTCCAGGAAGAGCTTGGCGTAGTGCATTGACGTGAAGACGTTGGTCTCCATCTCCAACAGGATCGGCTCGCCGTCGATGCTCCCGAAGTCGAACAGCCCGGGCCCTTCAGGCTTCATCTCCTTGAGGATCGCGTTGGCCGCCAACGTGATCTGATCCTGGAATTTGAGGCTCGTGACTGACTTGCGGATACACTGCTTGCGGTTCCCGAGGCTGACTACGTCCGTGAAGCCCTGCCCGAAGATCTCTCCCTTCATGTACGCCACCGAAGTCGTGATCGGAAGGCCGTCCGGCGCCTTGTCCAGCTGCACATTCTCCCGCAGCACCACAGTGCCGTCTGCAAAGTCGTACAGCCTCACCTCCTCGATGCTGCGCACAATCTTGCTGGCCCGCCCATCGACGGAGTCTACGGGCCGGATGACGGCAGTCTCTCCGTCATGCAGCCCGAGCTCCTCGAAGGCTGAGACCAGCTCCTCGGAGTTCTCGCACACGAACCCCCGGATCACTCTGCACTTCTTGCCCAGCAGGGACTCCACCAGCGATGGCGAGGTTGGGGACGAGATCGAACGGAAGATCGCCTTCTTGTCTCCAAACTTGCTGATCCATTCCGGATGCTCCCCAAACACCTTTAGGTTGCTGTTGTCGATGTTGTTTGCCCATCGCTGGAAGTTGTCGGTCACGGTCATGGGAACAAGGATGAATTGCTGGTCCGACTGGTTGCTCACGGTGTTCTTGATCCGATCGATCACGCCCTGATCAATCTCGTCGTCCAAGCACAGACTCGACGGATTTCCCGCAGTCCAGATGACCTGCCCGTCTTCGAGCTTGAGAATTTCCTTGCAGAACTCAAAGTAGTCATGAGCCCCCTCGTGATCGCCCTGGAGGACAATGAGGTCTAGTCCCGGACGCAGCAGGCAAGTAGGGCGGAGCGAGCACTCGTAGCGAGTCTGCGGCCGTCGGATCTCAGGGATGGAGCTGGTGACCCAGATACGACGGGCTGCCTTGCGCATTATGTCAGCCTTCTTGAAGAAGGATGGCTTCGGGACGATGAGGTCGATCGGAATCCTCGCATTCTTGTCGAACTTGGAGATGAGGGCGTCTCCCTGCTTGTACAAGGCCTCCGCTTCTTCGTTTGTGTCCCCAAAGGCAACGTACAGGCCTGAAAGACCTCGGAGGAACAGGAGAGGGAAGATGCCCCTCGTGGACTTGCCGGGAATGAAAGCGATGCCGTTGGAGACCAACCTGCTCCAGAAGGCGTACACGTCAAAGTCAAGGGCCGGTGCTGTCTTCCAGCAGTAGAACGAGCTGTCAGGCGCATAGCGAGCCTGAAACAGCTTCGGGAAATGAGCGCCATTGAATCGCCCTGTGTTGATGTCGGAAAGGACGGGAAGGCCGTTGACTGAAAGGAAATCGACGCCTCCTGGTCCCCTCGGCTTGGTCGCCTGGATGACGTTTTGCATGTATCGATTGGCTGTCTTCTGGAAGACCTTGGTTGCCCCTGACTTTCTCCATCCCATGTAGCTTGTTCCCACCATGATCTGATCCACTAACCCCTTGCCGATGAGTACCCCCTCGTTGTAGTGCATGGCGGGGGACAAGACAAGACCGTCCGGCGCCTTGTCAAGGTCGAGGAACTCCTCCAAGCAAACATCGCCCATGGGAAAGTCGTACATCTTGAGCTGCTCGAGCTCGCTGCAAAAGATGATTCCTTCTCCAGCCGCCCCGAACACCGGCTTGATCACAACCTCCTTGCAGTCCAGCAGCTTGTAGGCCTCCACCAAGTCGTCCACTGTGGAGCAGCCGTATCCTCGTGCAACCCGGATGTTGGGGTCGATCTCCTCGATGATGGAAGGAGTGTCAAGGCTGCGTACATGGCGGTGCAAGATGCCCTTCGATCCAAACTTCTGCACCCACTCCAGGTCCTCCCCGAAGACGGAAACATCGAGATCAGCAAGCTGACATGCCCACCGCTGGAAGTTGGACGTAACCATGTAGGGGACAAGGGTCCACGAGTTCCCCGACGACTGTATGATGCTTCTCAGCCTTGACAGGATCGTCTCGTTGATGTCGTCATCCAGACAGTAGGAATCTCCGGACGAGAAGATAACCTGGTCTTCTCCGAGGTCCAACACATCCTTCATGAAACTCCAGAACTCCCTGGTGGGCTCGTGTCCTCCAGGCAAGACGATGACATCCACACCTGGTCGCAGCAATCCGATGCACCTGTTGGGAAGGTTGTACCTCTGGGTCACGAGCTTGTACTCTGGCCTGGGACTTTGGATCCAAAGCTGCCGGCGATTCTCACTGAGAGCAACAGACTCAATCTTGTTGCTGAGGTCTACCAGACGCATAACATGCTCGGCCTGCGATCGCAGGAGAGAGACATCTGCGTCATCGACTCCGATGCTGATCAGAGTTGCTGTTGTGTTCTTCAAGAATAGGAGCGGGAATACCCCACGCTTTGACTTGCCCGGCATGAAAGCAATGTTGCGATCACACAGTCTTGTCCACAATCTGCAAGCAGAGAGGATTAGGAAGAAACAACTTTCATTGCTTGCATTACGTCCAAACGTCCATTCCCGGATGCGGATAGAAGTTCCACGAGCAGAACCGAGCGTCCTTCGCGTACATCTCATGGAACAACTTGGTGAAGTGCTCCATGCACAGGGTGCCGGCATGAGCATCTGTCAAGTACGGCTTGCCATCGACTGAGGTGAAGGCAAAAGCTCCCATCCCCGACGGCGCAATCGCTTCCACGAGTCGGCTTGAATGTTGTCTGCACACCAGGTCAATTGGATCAACGCCCACACAAAGTTGCATGCTTTACGATATCTTGTCCATAAACTCTTGTGTTGCAGTGCAAGAGCGTAAGCCATAAGTCATTGAACCCATGATAATCCGTTCGCAGGGACGCCCGTCCAACAGGTCGTTCTGCATGTACTGTACTGTTGGGCTGACGTGCATCCCGTCTGGCGACCTGTCCACTTGTAGATATTCTTGGAGAATGACATCACCGTATGGGAAGTCATAAAACCTACACAAAAAACTATCGTCACCCTCTCTGCTACCAATATCAAGATGATCCTTTCCTCAGCTCCTCGGCACTGGATGGGGACAGCATTCCTTGGCCACTGCTCAGGATAGGCTTGATCACAACTTGCACGTTTGGATCTCCGTCAGTCAACAGTCGAAATGCAACCTTTAGGAGTGTTAGGTCACAGCCTCGTCAAGAAGGCAAGCTCACAAGCAACTGCTTGTCATCGGAACAAGTGAAGCCCCTCGGGACGGTGATGTCTAGCCCCAGTTCTTCGATGATCGATAGTTTGTCGAGGTCAGAAACCTGATCCAACGCAATGACTTGCATGAAACAGAAGAGATCAACTTAGAGACAACTCACGTGTCGGTGTATCACTCCCCGATTTCCAAATCTTGACATCCATTCTTTGCTCTCTCCGACGATTTTGATGTTTTTCGTCCCCAGCTGTCTCTTCAGGACCACCTCCAGGTCTCTCAATCTGGACGTTATAGAGAATGGAATGAGCAGCCATTCCTCATCTTGGCTCTTGGAGGCAAAGGAGAGGACTCTGTCCTTCACGCTGTCTGTAAAATTTCCAAGGGACTCGTTGAACGATCGCTGCTGATCGTCAGTGTATACAATCTGCTCGTCCTTGAGCGTCAGCACTTCCTTACAGAACTGATTCCAGCATCAAATGCTGCCACAAGACCAAACAGCAACATGTACCTCTGCAAACTCCCGTGTGCTCTCGTGTCCTCCAGGGATGACAGCGATGTCCTTGTTGCTCCTTAGCAGCGGGATACACCTGAGCGATGTTGTGAGCAACTCTCTTGACATCGTCTCTGCATTCTTGGATCAATGATATCTACCTTGCTGGGAGCTCATCGAACTCTGCCTCAAAATGCTCTTGGTTCGACACGAGGCACCAAATGCGGAAGACATCTTGGTTGCTCCTGGCGGCTTTCCTCCCCCGTGTTGGTGTCGTAGGCGTTTGTCCCACCATGTCCTTGGCACTGGCCTGTAAGATATGTGTGTGAAGAAGAGAATCGAACATGCAGAGGAAAACAAGCTGTCTGTTCGCGATAAATATGATTGAAACTTGTTGAGATGTAATTGGTGAAGAATACGAGAGGCAGGTAAAGGATACTTTCATAATCAGAAAATGAAATATGTTTTTCCCTGGTAATGTTGTAATTTGAAGAATTTAGGTGCTTTGTTAGAGAGAAAAAGATGGCTCGCGAGGTTATACAGGACAAAATCGCAGTGCAAGGAGAAATCAGGATCCATGCATCATGTAAACTACAGGCGGTTTCACCTGGACCTAATTGTATCAGACCCTCTGCGCTACAACAATGGATTCATCTATATTTCCTATTCAGTAGCATTGTCATGTTGAGATATGCTCGTAACCTTACATTGCGAATCAACTTCGCCATGCCGAATGCAAGACTTGCATGTCTCTTAGCAACACTCACGAACCCCTCAATATCCCGAGTTTCTCCATGCTTCTTACCCCGCCTCCCGTTCTTTGTCGTCTCTGTCTTCCTCCCCTTCTCTTGTGCTTTGCTCTTCTTCCCCTTCCCCTTCCCCTTCCCCTTCCCCTTCCCCTTCCCCTTCCCCTTCCCCTTCCTCCCTTCCCATCTCTCCTTCCTATCTTGTGCAGCATCGTGCCCTGTTCCGCCCAAACTTGTCACCCTACCCTCTACCCACCCTTGAGTTGCTGTCACCCACCTTGAATACTACCTACCCTGACAATGGTAAACCTCAATCGTGGAATTGTAGGGGTACTTTAGGATTTAATAGCTACCCTACCCCACCTTTAAATCTGCCCACCCTAGGTCGAAAACACCAATTTCCCTCTTGCACCCCACTATCCACCCAAACACCACCCACCCACCGAATCACAGACGAAAGTTAGGACCCCATGCATCTTGCTTCCACCCTACCCTGCTGGACTGCATTCAACTACCCATTTCTACACATAATAAATACCCTACCCCTTGCACCTGTACCCTACCCTCCCCAACAAATTCACCAATCAAGTCTACATCCCGCCAACAAAGGACTGCATACCCCCTCAATAAAGAACCCCTAACTCTAATTTCCCACAATCGGAGGATCATACGCTCAGTACCCCAATTTTATCTTCTAAGTACCCACCATTTTCATATTCTCTGTCTGCACACCATGTTACTACCCTACTCACAAGTACCCCCACCATCAGTTCTGGCTTCTCCATATTCCCCCAAGAAGGTGAGGGAACGCAGTGATAATGTATAAGGTCAAAATGCTGTATGAGCGATACATGATGAATTTATAAGAGATACACTGAGTCCAGCGCACTGCCGGGGATCCGGCGGCCCGCCGGGCCCGAGTGAAAGGTTTGAGCTCTGAGGCGAACCTTGGTAAAGTCCCGTCTCTCCAGCCGCTGTCCTGGGAATGCTTTTCAATGTCTGCGTCAATATTTAAAATTTTCATATGAATATTTCAAATTATGTTTCAAAATTTCGTGCAGAGAGGACCGAAAAGAATTTCCCGCCCAGGCATGGCAGCTGCTTTTCACTACATGGACGAGCCGCCCAATGGCTCTGACGCCCATGAGACCTCTGCCTCCATCCCTGACTCCTCTTCCCTACCGCATCGCCTGCCAGACTCTCAGTCAAGCATTCGGATGAACTTCAAGGGGCAGCCAGGGCAGGACGGGTTCAACAGAAGGGTGAAGTTAGTCCAGGCTATGATGCAGTTGCCGCCAGAGAAAATCTTCGCAACGAAGGAAAAGAGTAGCATGTACAAAGAGATCACAGATCTTCTCAACCGAGACCCAGCCTTCGCGGGGGGGCTGAAGCAGGGTACGACCCGAGACAAGTGGCTAGAGGTCATCTCCACAGTGGACTCGATCATAGCAAATGGGTCAGAGGACAAGTACATCAAGTCGGCAAGCAGTGGGAAGGGTGGTCTGAATGAGCTAGATGAGCTCTACCTTAGACTTGCCAGGGAGAAGTCCGAGTGGTTGAGAAATCATGATCGAAGTAGGGAAGGGGCCGCGGGCGATGACATACCCCAGCGCGGGCGGAGGAGTGTGGGGAATGCAGTTCAAAATCAGCCTGATGCATGCAACGTCCACGAGGCTGCAGACGAGCGAATGGAGAAGTCAAGAGCGTCGTACGCGCACTCCGAGCATTCCGAGGATGGTGGGGGAAGCAGCGACGAGAATGGAGGGGGTTGTCAGGGTAGGAGCTCCTCCCATCCAAACCAGCAGACAGCCAGGGAGTCAAACAAGCGGCAGAGGGTAGATACGGACAGAAAGGCTGATCGCAATCGTCCAGCGATCGGATCAGCAAACTCGAACTTCAGTGCCGTGTTGGAATGGCTCCGCAGTTCAGACGAGAAATACCACCAGTCGTTGGAAGCAGATAGGGAGGTGGCGAAGATCAAGGCAGAGGCTGAGCTGCAGCACGAGAAAGCCAAGGTTCTCAAGCGGGAAGCAGAGGTTCTTGCGAAGAAGACTGAGTCGTACGAGCGAGGGATCGAGCTGCTCAAGTTGTTGGCATCATGTCATGAGAAGGGTATAACGGTGCCCCCACACATGCTTGTGTAGAGGAGAACAGAATCACTTGGCGTCTGTGTGTTTTTTGTTCCACATCCGAACTTGTGAGATGACATATATCTGCTTATCGACGGCTCGCGTGTGATAAGGCTACTTGTATGCATTCCACAGGGTGATAGGGATTTTGTGTGTAAATGAGGAGTTGAGGTCGAGACGTGAACAAGTCCAGTAGGAGAATTCAAACTCAAGTCGTTGCAGTTTTTGAAACACTATCTTTGAACAGCTCAAAAGGCTGCGAACCGAATACAAGCGAAGTCTTACTTCTCGGTCTTGATTGTGAAGTATGAACTGATGGTCTTTTGCGGCTTCGCAACCTCCTTGGATGGACTCACCAATCGCCCTTCTTTGCTCTGTCGCTTTTCTTTCTTGACAGCGTCCTTGTCCTCCTTCCTATCTCTTCCTCCTCCCGGTCGTGCAGAAGTGACGGTTGTCAAGTCGATGACTTCCATCGCCTCGGCCGCCTCATCGTCCGCTCGCCTCGTCCGCTTCTGCATCGGAGAGGCAATCGGGCTCGTGGAAACCCGATGCTCGCCGCCTTGCACGCTTCCTACCTCCTGCTTGACACTTGTGGAGTGACTACCTTCTGTCTTGGCCTTCAGAGTCTCCCTCGACTCGTTCGCGATCTCCCTCTTGATAATGTCCAGCGGTTTATCTTCATCCCCCTCCTCCTTGCCGACATTCTGCCATGGCCTCTTCTTCGTCTCCTCCTTCACTTCTACCTTGCATGTGCCTGTTGAGCGGTGGCATCAGATCAAACTCCTGCCGATGTTCTCTCCCTACCTTCTCCTTTGACCGGACTTTTGAAGTATGATGCTATCCCACTCGCCCTCTGCGCATGGTTATCATAAAACTCGCTTTTCGAGCGTCACTCTCGACCTGTTTCTCTTTGAACGACGAGAGGGGCAACAAGCACTCGGGGACATTGTTCTTCACATTGTTCACAATGTCCGCGACCTGCCATCCGTCACAATCCTCCGCATGCTCCATGCACATTCACGATAACCTCGTAGTACTTGAGCTCTTTGCTGTAGGGCGGATGATGGCCTGTACGCTTCACAGCACCTCAACGAGATGGCAGGAGGGGTCTGGTAAGTCTTCACCTCTCGAACGTGTTCGCCTCAGCGTCTAGCCAAGCTTCGATCTGGTCGCCCTCTAAGATCGCCGGCATTCTGTCATGCAGCCAAGACTGGAGCGCACGAATTAGTAAGGGAGGAAGGGATAGCGAGGGAGGCAGAGCAGGTGAGGGTGAGGAGAAAGAGGCAAGAACACATGGAACACAGGGCAAGTCAAGCTGACCATCTTGTTGCTCGACTCAGTCGTGATGATCGTGCACGAGGTGATCTTCGTCTCTTTCTCTCCATCCTCAGGCTGCACAAGGCTTATCGCCTTGAGGCACATCAACCCGGTTACCTTCTCTCCCTCCCAGACGTCGTACAACCCCGCAAGACACAATGGCTTCCCGTCGGCTCTCCTGCTCGGGCTGTCAGCCATGATCGATCCGACAAGCAATCTCTCACTGTATGAAGAACGGTCTCTTCTGCGACTTCGCCGACTTGTCTTGATCCAGCGGCGAACGAAGTCCAGGAGCCAACCATTCGTAGAAGCCGTCAATGACCTGACTCATGATCCCCATCAAAGCAGGTGACACGGAGGGCTGGCAGCGCACCACAACACAGCGCCTCTTGTTGAGCAGCCGCTTGTGCACGCGCACAAGGTTATCAGACCTGGAGCAAGGGGAGGTTACCCCTCCAGCGCCATGGCTGACCGCTAACCTCGCGTTGATCATGGCATAACCTGCCCTCATGGCCTCCCAGGCCGACGATGCTCTCGTGTACGACGGAACTAGCCCCCATCTCATGGACTGGATGACATATCCTGCTCCCTCCTCCTTCACGTCGCAGTCGCAGGAGTCCTTGACCAGGACCGGGAGGAAGTGGCCGGGGCCGCAATTGTACCTCTGCAGGTTCTGAGGGGAGGGGAGTCAGCGAGGCGGCTGAAGAAGGGTCATCACAGTGAAGATGATGTGAACGACCTTGAACATGATCATGCTCGTCAGGTGCGAATCATATACAGGCAGCGATGGCGGCCCCTTGCAACACACACGCCCACACCCGAGCGCACTTGGGGCGATGAGGAGGGCCAGGAAGGGCAGGTGGGAGCAGCTCGGAGGCATTCAAGGATGCACAATGGTAGAAAGAGCACATGCGAGCGAGGATGGGAGCACGAGCATGGAGGTATAGGGAGGAAGGAGGCGTGTTTTACAGGGGAAATTGAGGGCAACAGCTGCGATCGAGCAGGGAGAGCAAACACAAGAATGAGGAGAGGACCAGGGACAGAAGGAGGAGGGAGAAGAGGAGGAGGGAGGATCAGACCTCCTTGCCCATGAACTTCTTCGCTCTCGTCGCCTTCATGACCTCCTCCTCCCCGAAGACGCTCATGCATGACGATCGCCCGCACCCTCCCCCGCCCATCCCGACTACCGCAGGTTACCCCATCCCCGCTCAGGCCCTTTACTTTCCATGGCGATCATATGAGCTCAGCGGGACTTATCGGGCGAGGATGGCGGGAGGGAAGGGGAGGAAGGGCATGACGACGAAGACCATGAAGAGGAGGAGGATGGGAGCAGAGGCGATGGTGATGCTGCTGCTTCTCGCCATGTGCTGTGTCAGCTCGAAGGAGCTGCGAGTGAGGGTCGTGGAGGACCCTTATGATGAGGAGGGAATCACGATCAGGTGAGGAGGGAGGAGGAGGAGGAGGAGGAGGAGGAGGAGGAGGAGGAGGAGGAGGAGGTCCAGGAGTGACGGCATGTCCTCAGACATTACGGGAAACTTGCAAACCTCCCCGCTGTCAACCAGTCGCAGGTCCTCTCGCCATGCGGCTGGTCGTGTTGTGGGTACTCCTTACTTTGATTCAGCTGGCCATGATCGCGCGCTCGTTCCGCGGAGGTTTCGTCGATTTCTCTGCGTGGAATGGCAGGGATGCCAGCGACACGTCAAGGTCGGCCTACTGCCTTGCTCTGAGGACCGCGGTGCGGGCAAGACGGAGGATGAGGAGAGTAGTTTGAACTCGGTGCGGCAGGTCGTGGGGTATGAGGGAATTGTGTTCGACATGGGCAAGGAAAACCGGCCGCAAGCAGAGGAGGCTTCCTTGCTGACTGAGGCATCTAGCAGATCTTCCTGCTTGACCCGGTGTTGAGGGACGCTCTTGCGCGGCCGGAGCAGCTCACTTACAAGCTCTCTCCCGAACAGGTGGGAGGGATCGATCTATTGCCCATAGCGCACTTGATATTTCGAATTTGAAGCCTGTATCCTTGATAGTTTTCACTATGTGTGTGAAGGTGACTTCTGCTGCCATCTCGATCTATAGCTGTGATGATGATGATGATGATGATGATGATGATGATGATGATGATGATGATGATGATGATGATGATGATGATGATGATGATGATGATGATGATGATGATGATGATTGGGAGGAGCGGGGGGAGGGGGGGATCGGAAGATGGGGTGGAGGAGGAGGATGCTTCATCTCATGGCCATGCAGCCTCGACTCGATCCGGAGGACCCTGAGCGACATGCTCTAATTCGCTGGGAGGCTTCGTGGCCGGAGCCCAACGGATGGAGGGGATGGAAGGTCCCGGGGAAGGAGAGGGGAAGGGGGAGGGACGAGATTGGGTTCACCAGTCGAGAATCATCTCAATCCTTCAGAGGTCTACATCCTCCTTGCGGTCCTCCTTCTCAACGTGGTTCAGGTCTAGTCATGCTTACTATCACTTCTTGGCGGAATGTCTGCCCAAGGTGCGCCATGTTGTTTGTTCTGCCGAGAGGTGAAGCCGTTGGAAGGTTTTCCTTGCCCTGCAAGACTTCCAGGAGCACGCAGATTCAGTCTTGCTCCTTGACACGTCGTTTGGAAACACGTGGTGAGATGGGACGGGACCAGATCGGACGAGGAAAGATCAGGGGAGCTGTGGGGAAGAGAGGACGAAGACGAGCAAGAGCAAGAGCAAGAGCAAGAGCAAGAGCAAGAGGAGAGGAGAGGAGAGGAGAGGAGAGGAGAGGAGAGGAGAGGCGGTGTCAAAGTCTTGTCTGAGCTCGAGTGCGACAAGGAGTGTGGAGCTGCTGGAACTTCTCGGGTTGCCAAAAGATCGATGTCTGGTGGTACTGCAGAACTCCTTCTCCTTGCAAAGACGATGAGAGACCATGGCAGCGATCGCCGGGGAAACTTTACTTTGGAGACGTGTAAGAGCGGAGCTGAGGTGTTGTGCTCTAGGATTATCTGCTGAGCGATATGGCAGAGTCCATCTACCCAGTCCCACCCCACTGCACAGGGGGTATCCGACGCTGCTGATAAAATTGCGCAAGCTTCTCCTGATCGGGTGAGGTTGTCAGCGCGTTTGTTGTTGACGTGCGTTGGATACGTTGTCTTGTTGTGTTGGCTCTGTTGCGTCTGTTCATGTGAAGATGTGAATGTCAGCGGTGGTTCTTGTCAAGACAGAGGTGTAGAGTGAAACTTACTCTGTCAATTTCAAGTGCACTAGGTAGTGATCACGAGAGGATGAAGGGCGAGGAGAAGGGAACGGGAGGGGATGTCAAGAACATCGTTTTCATTATGCGGTGCTTGACATGGAGACAACAAGCAGCAAGTGTGACTGAGAGTCATGAAGTAAGCCGAGCAACAACCAGCATTCCCATCAGTATTCTGCCTGCCTGCAAACAGGTGTGGTCAGCTCTTTCACTCCCTTCCTACGCTTGAAGTTCTCCTCCTCCCGTCATCTACCTCTCCCCCTGCTCACGCTCCCGTTCCTCCTCCTCCTCCTCCTCCTCCTCTTGATTGCTCCTTTGCCTTACCAGGGGGCTGCAAAGTGCGGGAGATCGTGAACGCAGAGGAGGTGATGGCAGGGATCCGGTAGCTCCCATCGCTCCTCTCCCTCGCCATCTGACTGCCCACCAGGAAGACCTTCAGCTCCTATCACCTCGTCCCCTTCGACAGCACGGGGATGTCTTGCCGCGAGCAGGTCCCTCTTCCTCTGCTCCTTCCCTCCCCTTGCGGCGTCTGAGCTCTGGATGCGTCAGGTCCGCGTCTTCGCAAGCGCCCACGTCGTCATAGGCACGCACGGAGCCGGCTTGACGAACGTCATGTTCGCTCCTTCAGGTCCTCCCTCCCTCCCTCCCTCCCTCCCTCCCTCCCT